AGTCTTAACTCATTTCGGCATCACTCTAAGTCTAAAATTTCTTTCAAATATAATCAATTCAAAAAGTCCAAACTATAATCTTCCAAATACTTTTAATCAGCTATAGAAGAGAGTCTGGGTATTCCATCAGTCTACTGGGGTCACTATAGCGAAGTACAACAAACTGGGTGGCTTAAAACAACAGGAATTGATTCTCTCACATTCTGGAAGCTAGGAGTCTGAACTCAGGGTGTCAGCAAGGTTGGCTCCCTTTTGGAGGGCTCCAAGAGAGAGCCGGTTCCATGCCTCTCCCAGCTTCCGGTGTTGCTGGCCATCCCGGGTTCCTGGGCTTGTAGACTCATCACTCCAGCCTCTGCCTCTGTTGTCACATGGCAGGCTTTCTGAGCGTCTCGGTGCCTGTGTCTCTTCTTTTAAGGTCACCCGTCATGTTGGATTACGGTCCATTCTGAGGGCTTCATCTTAACTTGATCACAGCTGCAAAGACCCTATTTCCTTAAAGCTTAATAAGAGACAATAAATGTGGTGGCATTAGAACAGAGAAGGAAAAATGCTAGTCACGTTTTGTAAGAAGGTTATGGTTGCCCTGTGACAAGAGACTTTTGTATTTTCTAGGATTGACTTTGCCAAAACATCAGTAGCAATCCGAAATTTTCTTGCCCTGGATCCAACAGCTTTTGCATCTTTCTGTGAGTAAATAGTTTAATTTGATAACTGTGTTATACTTGAGTTACATTGTAATTTTGAACAAGGAAAAGTTTAATTTTATTTTTTAAAAGATTTTATGTTATTGCTACCAATTAGCATTACTTAGAGATGTTCAGTAGAATTTGTAATTTAAAAAACATGGTAACTGTAATTTTGATAGCATTATTTGTCAATAGAAGTTGAGCTTAGTAACTTTGAAAAGTTTAATTTGTTCTTATTAAGTAATGTTTAGCTTTTCTATTTTTACTTGACATTAAACAGATTGAGCTGGCATAGCATTTCAGGAACAAATGATATCTTTGGATAATTTGGAATACATTTTGTTCTGTTATGAAAATATTAACGAAACTGGTTTTAGGACCTTGAGTCAGTTATTTAATTTATTAAAAGATCATCTAGGTTATAGTCATAACTAAAGATAAAATAGTGAACATCACAAAAGTATCTGTGTTCTTAAAAAATAATCCAGCCTATTGAAATTGATCAAATGAATTTCTTTTATATTGTCATTCTCTAAAGTACAATTACTTTTGGCCTTAAAGTAATCTATAAATTAAAAATAAACTTGACTGTTAAAAATACATTATTAGTAATTTCATTTATGTTTTTTTCTCAGTGCTTCGCTGCTCTTATACTATCTCTGAGTCAGCAAATGACAAGTGACAGAATCCATCTTTACACACCTTCTTCTGTTAATGGCAGCCTCTGGTAAGATTCAAATGGCATTAGCAGTAGTTGGTGGTGATAACAGCGACGATGGGAGTAATGGCACTATTCTACACCTTCCACTCTTTTACATGTTTTTATCTATTAATAAAGGCCCCGTTTTTGTCTTCAAAATTGTGGCAAGAAAATGCCCATTTCATTTTTTAATGGATAACTATTGTTACAAACACCTGCATTTTTAATGAAATGTCTTCTTTTTATGATCTGTTTTAAATCTCTTAAGTTATGCTTTTAAAATATGTCATTGCATGATGAACTGGAAGAGCCTGGCACCCTCACCCCCAATCTGGAGCCTAATACCTCAGAATAGTGATGGGAGGGAGTCGCGGGGACCGAGTCGGAAAACCAAGCAATGGGGAGAGCAGACTGGGGTGCGCCCCCTCCTCAGGCCAGTGGCCAACCATGGAGCTAACAGGACAACTGAGATTTTAGTTCACAAATCTCAGATTTGGGGGGTGGGGGGGGCGTCTTTTTTTGAAAGAGTGGCTAGAGCCATGAGGTAAAGAGAGAAAGGAAAGATACCTGATGACGAGTAAGTTTCATTTGTTCTTATTAAGTAATATTTAGCTTTTGTATTTCTACTTGACATTAAACAGACTGAGCTGTAGCTGAGCACCACAGTAGTCGCAAGGGAAACCTAGAAAAAATTTTGGCAACACTGAATTTCCATTTATATCACTGTACTAAGCCGGTCTGCTTAGTACCTTTGTTTTCATGATACATATTTATGACATATATACTATATATAGTTGTATTTTATGGGGCATCATATTTTATTTCGCTCTTTCCTCGCTATTCCTGTAGATGAGGACTGCTATTTTTTAAAGTTCATAAAATAGATATATTTAGATATGTGAACAAAAATGAAGACATTAGTAATGAGTATTTCTGTGTCTTTAGGGCGGCCGGAAATGAGGAGCAGGTTCTCCAGCCGTGGATCCTGGTGAATCTGGTGGTGACCATTCTGGTTGGACTGTCTTGGCTTTTCTTGTCTTATAGGCCAGGCATGGATCTTAGCGAAGGTATTAAAGAACAAATAGTATAAGCATATCATGGAATCTTGTATAATGATTTTAGAAATCTTTGTTGACTGTAGCTTATGATAATTGTGATAACAAAGAGATATTTAAAATAAGATAACATAAAAAGAGTGACAATAAAGTGGTGGAACAATACTAAGAGAAGCAATACTAAGAGGGGTGTCTAGGGGGGCTGGGGTTTGGAAGTGCTGGATGAGGCCCTCTGTGGTCCTGGTGCATATTTAGGAAGTTTTTGTTTTTTTTAACCCTTCAAGTGTTTTATAGAAAGTCTTTGCTCTTCATTTCTCCTACTCTCCTTACAATCAATGTATCTCTTTATTTTTATTGCAGTTTTATTAATATTATTTTATTAATATTACTTCAATATTATTTTGTACTAGTTGCTGGCGTACAGCACAGTGGTCAGAGAGTCATACACTTCACAAGGTCAAAATATCTCTTAATTTGAAATAAATCACGCTTCATCTAAGCAGCCTCTGTCAGATGCAAATTAAAGTGAATTATTGTGACCTCTTCCTTTACATTGAACAAATTCTTAACCTTTCATTGTCTAATAAAGTGTCGTGTAACCTGACCTTCAGTGTGCCCCATGGGAAGTGAGATTTACTCATCTCTAGTTCTCAGACCCCTGTGGGACCCCTGGAGGAGAGGCGTCATATTGGCAAACTGCTGGTCCTTCAGCACTCATTTAGGTGTTGGTAGTTGTATTTCATTGGCAGATGTTCCACACTTTCACCCTTGAACCTCTGTGATACTTTCTGGACTTTGATTATTATTACGTTCTTGATTGTTGAACATCCTGAGCATTTAGCTGCAATTTGATCAACTAATTACGAACTGTCTCAGAAGTGTTAGAATTGAGAACCTTCCCAACATTTCCATTTGTAAACACCAAGACAAAAAATGTAATCTTGTGTATTTTCATTGATGAATGTACCTTTTTGTATCGTCATCCTTTTTTTTTAAATTTTGTTTTATTGCTTAAGGTATTACAAAGAGTATTACACATGTCTCCTTCCTTCCCCCCTTGGCCTTCCCCGGCCTCGCCTACCCCCCAACGTCTTGTGTATCCTGCTGCTTTATTTGTTTTGATATATGTAAAGTATTTTTTAAAATCTTCTAAGGGTTTATATAGTTTGCTATTTTCTTTCAGGATAGTCTTTAAATCAGTAGATGAGTAGATAATGGGTAAAGTATTTTTTAAATCTTCTAAGGGTTTGTATATTTTGCTATTTTCTTTCAGTATAGTCTTTAAATCAGTAGATGAGTAGATAATGGAATACTAATCAGCCATAAAAAGGAAGAAACATTTACCCTATAAAACACATGGACCTGGAGAGCATTATGCTAAGGGAAATAACCAGTCAGAGAAAGACAAGTACAATGTGATTTCACTCATATGTGGAATTAATGAACAGACTGACTTAACAAGCAAAACCAAGACAAACTCACAGAGAGAAGGCAGACAGCTCTGGTGGGGATGGGTGTGGGGGTGGGGGAGCGGTGGTGGAGGGATTGAGCAAAAAAGAAAAAAGAGAAAAACTCAGGGATACAGGTGGTAGAAGGGGAGAAGTGGAAGAGGATATGGGAGGAGGGTGTAAATGGTGATGGAAAAAACCACTAATTTTTAATAGATGTTATAATTCAAATAAATTAATCTTTGAAGAAAAATATTTTTTTCATATAATACTTACATCGGAAGACTTTATTAGGTTCCTAAGGTTTTCTTTTTAAAATATTTCTTGTTATTTTAATAAACTACATATATATATGCTAAGTAATAGTTTAAGTGTAGAAATGTCAACTAATATCTTTCTATACTGTAGTTGGGATTGAAGTTACATCTAGCAAGCTTGTGCAGTATTCAGACTAAATAACAAAGTGTGTGTTACTTACTAAATATTTACAGAATCCTGCTCTCTCTTGGGGCCATGTGAATTATATAACATTTTTTCCATGTGGATAAAAAAAATCACTATAAAGTGGGGATGATAATACCTCACTTATAGGGTCATTATGGTAACTAAATGGAATGACACATTTAAGATATCCTGGCAAGCACCTCGTATTAGTTCCAGGGCCTTTCTCCACATCTGTCCCCTGCATTTTAGGTTATCATGAGCACTTACAGAATTAGACATTTCAGCTGTTTAATGATCCTGGATTCCCCAGGTGACTTACATTTCCTGGGGAGCATTATTATATTATCTCCATTATAGATGTTTTATTTTTCAGGGGCTAGCAGTATATTTAAAACTTGGAAATTTTTAGTTTTTTGGAAAGTTTGAAATGCAAAACTTGTACCCTTGTCATTAGCTCGCCTTTTAAATCAGATTTCACTACCAAGCATTCTTACTTGTACTTGAGGGCTTTCTATTGTTTATATTATGTCAGTACGTTAAAGGATTGTTTATAACTAAACTGAAAAACTTGTTGAGGTCCTGGGAAACCATTTTGAGTATGTTCTGTTCATTTTCTCTTCCAGAATTGATGTTCTCCTCTGAGGTGGAAGAATATCCTAATAAAGATAAAGGATAACGCCTCTTCCTAATGCCTCTCACCTTCAGAAGAATAACGGCCCAGTGTTTAGAATTCTTCCCATCCTTGTTTTTAAATGTATTTTTATAAGATATGCACAGGTGTATTTGGAATTGATTTTTTTGATTATGTAATACTGAAAAAATTCTCAAGATTATGGAAATTGTTAAAATTGTACCTGCAGTTTATACCCAAACATCATCAGTTTAATGGCAAAGGAGGTCATGAGATGGAAACAAGTAAGTGAAAGTGCTTATTTCCTGTTCTGTCGAATTAGTGGCTTTTATAATCATTATCTTAAATGCACGAGTAACTTTACTGTTACAAAAGCTATATCAGGTTTAAACATAAATTTAGGGAACAGGGAAGAAGTGAAATGAAGACCTTCATTATTTATTTTTGATATCTCCTTACTGCGTTCATTGAAATATGAAATTTGTCTTTTTTTTAAAGTGACTTAGTGACTGTGTATCATGTAATAAGTATAATGTAATGTAATTTAGCTTGAAAGATGCTTGACTTCATGACTAATAAAAAGAAAATATATCCTTTTTGTTTGAAAAGTTTTATAACCGAATAAGTTTACTTCTTTTTAAAACCCATATCTGTGGTTCCCAGAGCTGGTTGCACATCAGAGTCATTTAGGAAACTTTTAAAAATAATGTAGAAAAAAAAATGCAATCAGAGAGAAGCGAGCAGGCCAAGAGCTCCGGGAAATGAAGGAGAGGCCGTGAGCTTGCTGAGCTAACGCTCAGTTGACTTCTGCAGAACCCTTCCCGCTGCCTCTGTTTTTGTATGACGAAAAGAATGCGTGGAAATTCACTGAACCTATTCTCAGGCTCTTTGTCAGTGGGATCTTGGCTCTCGAAATCCCACTCGTGAGGTGTCCTTCGCTGGAACAGGTCCCTTGAGAGCTGTGTCCGGTGGTGCCTCAGCTGCTGTGAAACCCTGGAGCTCAAGGCAGTGACGAGGCTCAATGGGGCAGGGTGTCTCAAAGGCGCTGGGGCACATGGAGAGAACGAGTGGGCCAGCCCCACTTAGCAAACAGCTGAATGCTGTAGAACGGAAGAGGACGGACCAATAGAAATGCATGGCTCTGAGAACAGGTCTAAATTTGGTGTAAGCATCATAATAGGAGCTGCTTGCTGTCTGTGAGGCTGGAGTTGCTAAAAAGGGATCCCCCCTTTTCACAGAATTGTGAAGGCGCTGGCATCCTGCCAGTCCCAGCTTTCACTGTCAGCAAACTTCAGGGAAGCCACGCTCGTTTGAGCTGAGGCTCGTTTGAGCTGAGGCTCGCAGCATCTGAACAATGTTATGAAGGAGAAAAACGAGAAAACCAATGTGGGGGATTGTGCCCTGGCTGGGAATCGAACTGGTGACCTCTTGGTTCCTGGGTCAACACTCAACCACTTGAAGCACATTGGCCGGGGTCTGTTTTTTGTTTGTTTGTTTATTAACCATTAATTGCAATAGTGTGAGTCCACTAATGAGCTATACCAATTGGTAACTTGGAGACAGCGGTTAATTCTGTATTTGGGGTATGTGTATGGGGTTTTATGGCTTAACTGAAAGCTGAACTTGGAGCTGGCCCTTGAATACAAGAAAAATAGCTTCCAAATAGAATAGCAGTTAATAATGATTTTGGAGGCCCTTGGTTTTTGTATTAAATAATTCCAACTTAGCCCTAGCTGTTTGGCTCAGTGGATAGAGCATCAGCCTGTGGACTGAAGGGTCCCAGGTTTGATTTCTGTCAAGTGCACATGCCCAGGTTGCAGGCTGATCCCCAGTGGGGGGTGTGCAGGAGGCAGTCAATAATTTTTCTCTCATCATTGGTGTTTCTCTCTCTCCCTCTCTCTTCCTTTCTGATGTCAATAAAATTTATATTTTAAAAAATCCAATTTATGGCCGATAAAGAAGCTCTGGCATTTCTGGTTTTGTTTAAAAAGTAAGCTGTATTTTTATTTTTTAAATATATTTTATTGATTTTTTACAGAGAGGAAGGGAGAGGGATAGAGAGTTAGAAACATCGATGAGAGAGAAACATTGATCAGCTGCCTCCTGCACATCTCCTACTGGGGATGTGCCCGCAACCCAGGTACATGCCCTTGACCGGAATCGAACCTGGGACCTTTCAGTCCGGAGGCCGACGCTCTATCCACTGAACCAAACCGGTTTCGGCAAAAGTAAACTGTATTTTTAAATTTTAAAGATGAAATCGTGGAAAGCGTGGATGACAGGAGGCTGGGAGACCCAGGAATAAACCATTGCAGTCATGGTTGTGTGAGATGTCCTACACTAGGTGCCATAAAGAGGAGTAGGGTTCAAATATTTGGGGTTAGAATTCAAACATGTGTCTGACATTTTTAGCGTTTGTGGGCGTAATATTGCTAAGTTCAGATGGGCTTGGGACTGGAGGCCTGGGAGGGAAGGTGCGTATCCACGCGCGGTGCTATGTCGGTGGGTCAGGTGAGTACAGATGTCGGGCTCTTCTGTGGGAAACAGCATCTGGAACTCGGGGACAGTGTAAGGAAGTGGTGATTGACACTGTACGTCTCCGGGAAGAACCGGCGCAGGGCGGAGGGCTTCCGGTGGGTTAAGGGGCAGACAAAACGCAGTAAGGTGTCCGACACCCATCACTGCTGGGGAGCCTGGCTGCCCCCCGCAAGGCCTGACTCCTCCTGCGGGGCCTGGCATGGCCTGGGCAAGCGCTCCAAGCTGACCCTCCAGGCTCCCAAGGCTGCACCCCCAAAGCCAGCCCTGCAAGGAGCCGGCCTACACGTGCGGTCGCGCAGTGTTGTACGCGTGTGCATGTGTGAGAGCATGTGCAGTGCGTGAGCGTGTGCATGTGCGTGAGCGTGTGCGTGTGCGTGAGCGTGTGCGTGAGCGTGAGCGTGTGCGTGGGAGGTTGGAGGGAGGGGCGGGAAGCGCGGGAAAAGCGGTGGGC